CGGTACGAAAAGTGCAAAAACGCATAATCGCACTGGCCCGCCTGGTGCGTTCCAGTCTGGGTTTTTTAACGTGCTGGTGCGACTGGAAAAAGCGAACTATTTGTAAAATGACTTGTTTTCTTCTCACACGAGGGAGGGAAAATTAGCTATGCTTCAAACCCACAATACTGAGCTCCATCGCCATTTACATTATCAGGAACAATGATCATTTCTCGTATCCTGTTTGATATCTTCTTTGCTCTTTGGAATATGCTTAAGGGACACTAAGAACTCAACTATCAAAAATACGGGGGACAAGAATGTGTCACTTTTGGCGAAATAAGCTTCATGCCGGAAGTTTTCGGGGCAGTACTGAATATTTTAAACCGCACAGATGCTGCAAGTTTGAGAAATTGGTTTGCTTGATTGCAAAATTAGACATATCTGAATCTCGGTACTTCTGCGTTTTTTTTTAATAGTGTGGTTTTGACAGGCGTTATCACGATGACGAGGCTGAAGAGCTCTGGCATGACCACCCAGTGCGGTAAGTGTAAAAAAAAAATCGTTTGAACTTTTCTGAGTTCCCGCACAAATCTTTTGCCCCATGCTGCATTTATGAGTACCAATTCCCTCTTCTTCTGTTCATTTTCTCACCATCGTTTCATGGCTCAGAGTTGAAAAGCTGTACAATCAGCAATTCTCACTGCCTGCGCCGTTACACATCCTATATAAAGCGCTAAAGTTGGTGCCATTTTGTTACATAAATCCGTATAATTCAACTCCGTAAACTGCTAAAAATACGTTTGTGGATTTATAGCAGTTACCACTGCTTGTCGATAACAAAAGTAACTTTTATAATAAAAACGGCTAAATTTAGTACTTTAATCTGTAAGCAGTTTTAGAGAGCGGTTTTCAACAGCAACCGGTCACTACGACATGCCTCCGTCAGAGTCGGAGCGTGAGACGTACAGTCGGGAAACGGATCGGTTTGGTAGAGAATCTGATGGCCAGACGTCTATCACTAGCGCACAATCAATTCAACTGCCAAACGGCTCGATCGGTGGCTTCTATCATCCGAAGCACGACACTGGCAAGCATCGTGGTTCCTTGGATAAGTATGTTCTTCAGGCATTTTTGCAAGGCCTCTTCTCTGCTGTTCTCCTGTACAATGCTTAAAATTTTGGAAGAACCTAACAGCTCTTAAAAATTTTGATTTTACATAATGTCTATTTTTTTCAGTGGTGTGTCCGTTTCCCGAAGAGAAGGAATTATCGGGTCCCCTGTTTGACATTTCTGGAACAAAAAGATTTTGTCATATAATTGCCTCAGCTTTTTTCCACTTAAGGTCCTGGCTCTTTTTAAGGATATAATTTAACATGTACCCGCTGATTTTTGCACACTTCCGGTCAGCTTTTGTTTTTTTTAGTTTCTCACCGACTCTGCACAGAATAAGATAGGCCTTCCTCTGGATGTAAAACGGATTGGCATGTATAGTATATGTTTCAGTCTTTAATATTTTCAAATATACTTCCTAGTTAGCTGATAATCTACTTTGTGAATAGCAGTTTACATTCTGCCTAATGTTAACTTGGCATTAAATAAGTGTTGAAATGTATCGTTAGGCGACAGATCGCAAGTGATCAGGATCGTCAGCGACCTGCCAGCAGAGGTGAAGACGTAACTCAGCCAGAAACGTCTAAAGTGCACTTCACAGTTGCTGCTGATGATACCACCAATGCTAAGCGGTATGTCTTAAATTAATCTAGAAATTACTCGCACAGTTTTTTATCACATCTAAGGAGTTAATTCTATGGAATTGTTGCGATGCAAAAGAGTGTGCGCGAAAGGTGCAAGAATATCAGCGATGCAAAATATGGAAACGAAATTACCAAAAATTTTGGCACCTTTATTCAGTTTATGCCAACCGAATGGAAGAAAAGTAAAACGTGTTGATAGTGGGGAAGTGCGAGCTGCGTGTTGTCCTTCACGTTCTCTTTTGTATATGCACTATGGAAGCGAAATATCCTTCAAGTTTTGTACGACTGAACCAGCAGAGATATTAGTTACAATATACGTATACTGCCAGCAAACATGGCGCAGTGGGTAGCTCTGTTGTTGTGCAGTGGGTCGAAGGTTCGACTCTGCTGACTCGTTTCACTGGTAAATCGGCACTGTCATATGCCAGGGGGTCAAGCCTGCCACCAGCATGCTTATAAGCGCCCGTCAGAAGAGGGAGCCATCCACTGCCAAAGTTGTCGATGGTTACCACGCGGACCAATTCCTAAGTGCCTTCCTTTGTTTCTGAGAGCGAATATGGAGAGTGATCCTGACTTTTTGGTATACTGAAATAAAAATATTTAAAAAAATGCATGAACAGGAATATTTGGGTCCATTAATCCGTATAATATCCCCATTCAATGCTACAATTGGACCTCGTCAGCACGGCAGTTGAGGTGTTCATAAAATAATATAAAATAAATTTTTAAGAAAGTGAGTTGTAATTTGTAAAAGAAAAAGTTAAAGTATGAAAAGGCAAGAAGGGAGTGAATTAAAACGTAGGCTGGAACGCACCAGGCGAGCCGGAGCGATCATGCGTTTTTGCACAAAACTTG